TTTGAAGTTCATATGTTATACTGTGTTGTAGCTTACAGAGTGCATAACTCTTCTCGTGATTCATGGTATGTGTACGTTTTACTGACGTCACGACAGTACAAACTGCAACATTAAGCGTCCCTTATGTGACGTCATTTTATGTGACTGACTGACAGACAACAAACTACTGTATTGGTGTTGCAAGTGGTTAAAACAGGTGACCCATCCAGGCGGCCTTCGGCCCCCTTTCGGGGAAATAATATAGCAATGCAGGTTCGTGACATGTATATACACACACACACACACACACAAAACGAACTTTTTAAATGATTGATTGTCAATCCGTAAACAGAAAGAAGCAAATGAAGACGGTTGGTGAAAGTGTAACCGAAAGATTGTGAATTAAATAAATAATAATATATTTTTATCGCTAAAGATTTTAAGTATATCAAAATAATTTAAAATACATGGTTATCAAAACTTCTTTTCTGATTTGATAAAAATAGCTGTCAAAAAAAAATCTCAAAGTCGGGATTAAGGAAATAATGTAACAGAAGAGCATGAAGACTGTTACTGAAATTTCAATCGAAATTTTGTTAATTAAATTAAACCAATGATAAAAATAAAAATAAAAAAGTGAAAGAAAAAACCTTATGTGTATCTTAATATACATCTAATATGAAAGTTTGTTACATCCGTCACCAGTAGAACTGTTTTAGTTATATATTCAGAGTGTTGAGTACGTTATATTAAAACTATTTTCGAGCCTCACCACGTTGTTACAATCCATGTCGCCACGCCAGTCACGCTCTACCTGAAGACAATGCATTTTTACAATAATCATCCGGCGTATTTTTCACTGTAAAAGGCTCCGTCTTAAAGCTGTCATGCACAAAGCACACCACTTCTCCTTGCAATACCTTCCATAATGGATAGACGCTGCGTTCGGCGAATTGACCGGTATGTTTTCATATGGAATAGCATTAATATCCGACTCATTATCCACTTGCTTGAGGCATGTAATGGATGAACGGAAGGTATGATTAGAAATCTTATCTTCTTTTATTTATACCCTGTCTATCTTGTTTCTAGAAGAAAACCTTTCTTGATTATGCTACATACTTTTGCTTGGAACACGTGAACAGCTTTTGTCACTGACCTTTGTGTTCATGGACTCTTACCTGTTGCAAGACACACTTTGATTACGAAAGCTGGGGTCTTTTTCTGGATGGCCCTGGTGTCCCAAGATAATCCATATTCCATTGTTTTCCAGTGCCATTAAGTACAAGAGATATCTCCGTCTTAGAAATTCTAAATCTCTGACCTTAACACATCTTTATGATCTGAGTGTATGAATATTTTGCTTTGGAAAGGGCTGTTATATACCGTTCCCCAAATCATACAATCGGCTGTGGTTGTACGTGACTTGTTGATTTGCGTCTTAATATAACGTACTCAACCCTATACAAATGTTTTAGGACATAAGATTCTTCTTGTATGTAGTATCTAAGTGAATAAGAACAATTAGTGAGTTGAAGCATTTAGCTCAGGCTGTGTGTATCACATAAAAACGTGACTTGTTGCTATACATTTGGTGCTTAAACTTTCTAGCTACGTAAACAAAAAAAAACATTTTTTTGCATAAAAGAAAAGCACAGCACCGCATAAAGCACTGTTCTGATGATTTCTACCTAATTTGCGACAGCCAAAATATTTTGTATATTCAATATTACGTAATAAGACGAATTTCCACAACAAATTTTGATTTTAGATAATTTAAAAAGCACACCCTAAACAGATGTTTTTTTTATAAATTGTTTGTTTGTTTGTTTTTTTGAATTTCGCGCAAAGCTACACGAGGGCTATCTGCGCTAGCCGTCCCTAATTTAGCAGTGTAAGACTAGAGAGAAGGCAGCTAGTCATCACCACCCACTGCCAGCTTTTTTTTTATTTTTATATAAATAGAGTAAGACATTTCTAGTATAAAAGTTTATTGACACCCACCCACCTACCATCTTTCGCATTTCAGAAGAGTCCTTTAAGACTGGTTAAATATAGCTTTCATTTTCCGATGCAAGATGTATTTACTATTATGATAAAATACACCTAGCCCTAAAGAAGGAATAGGTTATCCTAAATTATCTGAAATGAATACCAATTGTTCGTATAAAAAAAAAAAACTGTGCTTCTACTCATAGCATATATTTTACAGTGCAAAAAAGTAAATATGTTTTAAACTAAACTAAAACCACATGACGACACGAGCCAAGGATGTTAGAACTTATCACCTTTTTAATCTTAATACATATATATTTATGATTCATAGGTTATTCAAAATATTATGCATAACTGTCTATTGATATTTACAAATGTATTGTTACACAGCCTGCTGAATAGTACTTGTCGTTGAGTACCTAACATTCTCCTCATGACAGAAAAAATTATATAACATATTCCTTGGCGAAAGAACGTTTCGCGGCCTTTCCTGTAAGTTTGTTCGTTTTTGTTTTTGAATTTCGCGCAAAGCTACACGAGGACTATCTGCGCTAGCCGTCCCTAATTTAGCAGTGTAAGACTAGAGAGAAGGCAGCTAGTCATCACCACCCACTGCCAACTCTTGGGCTACTCTTTTACCAACGAATAGTGGGATTGATTGTCTCATAATAATGCCCTCAGGGCTAAAAGGGTGAGCATGTTTGGTGTGACGGGGATTCGAATCCGCGACCCGCAGACTGCGAGTCGAGCGCCCTAACCCCCTGGCCATGCCCGGCCGGGCCCTTCCTGTAAGGTAAATTTGGAATGGTAATTTTTGTTCATGTTTCTTTATGACTTCTATGTATTTGCGTTCATGTTATACACTTCAAAACAAAGCGAAGGTGCTTTATATATATACGTATAATGTAAATCAATTTAGTCGGGAAAGTTTAAATGTCTATCTATATATCTATAAAGGTTAAAAATGATGCTGTTAATTTCAGATTTATTAAAAAAAAATCTATGGATTTTCTTTTCTCAGGATGTCTTTAAAAGCTGTAAAAATTACACTGTATTGGCTAAATCTTTGACGAAGCCATTAAAAGATGCTTTAGACTGACGGTTACATAAATAGTTATCGATTTACGAGTTTAATAACTGCACGTGCTATAAGGGTAATTTCTAACTTAAAAAAAATTACTTATTAACCAAAGATAATGTATGATAATTACAAATTCTGTATTAGAAACAATTTCATTTTTTTAAAAAATTGCATTTAAATAGTTTAAAAACCTTGTTTCTATGTGGTTAGTTCTTTTCAGAACGAAAAATATAGCAAAAAAATAAATCATTCAATACTATATAGACCTAAAAAGTTTTACACGTGCTCCAGTAGACATAACATCTTCCTTCAGGTAGGTCACACGATGTGGACTTCGTATTTGAACAATTAGCATCCATTCGTGCGTGAATACGCACAAACACATTATATTTATACAAATATAAATTGGTTGGGCAGATAGAAAAGCAATAGAAATACGGAAAAAGATAGCAAAGATAATCTTAGTTTGTGGGCGTTGATCTCTGAACACTTGTGGCTTGGATTGAGACTGAGAGCATTATTATCTGAAAACACTGCATGATAACCGTAATTTTTTCTGGCTTTATACGCCCTAGTTTTTTTCATATCTATGACATCTGAGTATTCTACAATCGATTAGCTGACTCATGCAAGAGAAGTTCGTTGACTTGATATATTGTTTTCCAGTTAAATAAAAAAAAAAGAAGGAAAAAAATGGAAAGAAGCTGAAACTTCATTGCAAGACATTCCGTGTGTTGATGTAGCTTACAAATACTATTTATACTACATTCGAAATAACATATATCCATATGTGATGAATAGCTTTGATTTGTTGCTAAAGTTTCATATCCTCACCAGATGGCGCAATTAATCATCATTAAATGACTAAAGCAGTTTGAAGGACATTATAGGAATTAAGTGTTAACGAGGTGTGAATCCATTGTTATTAGTTTGGACCAATCCGTACGCATGTATATTTTATTAGTTAACTAGGCCACCTATTATTTGTTGGAATTTAGTCCGTATATGTTTAAACAGATCATAATTAGTGTATTATATCATAGTTTTTTATGCTTCAGCTAAAACTTATAGATTTGCTAAAGAATCCGATACAATTGACACTCCTATAAGTGACGGCAACATTATAATGATACACAAGATTTGTATAGTAAATGAATACATTCATCTCTTGATGTGTTTAGACAAACATGGTTAATGCTTTCCTAACATTAATACACACACAAAAAAATATGTTGGTTGACGACTATTATCCAATTCAAAATTCTGCCAGTTGGTTAATCATGCAGATTATATAGAAGCGAAACTCTGCCCCTTCACCATTATGTTACAGTGAAACCTCCTCTTTCAAGCTTAGTCACATCAGTTTGAAATATATATTACCAAAGAAGCATGCAAATACACGTGATCTTCATCCCAGTGTGAGTGAGAAGTAAATCAAAGGTTTAATAGTATTAGTTCAGAACATATGTGAAAATATAGCCACGTATAGAGGTCACCATAAAACATAACACGTTAAACAAATCATGATTAATGACGACTTGTATTTGATACTTTACCAAAATCGATTATATCTCTGACTATAGACTTCAAACGTGAAACCTTCTCATCTTGGTCTCATGAAAAATATCTAATTTTTTATTAAGCTACAAGAAATATTTTTATAGTTTTTTCTTTCTATTTTATTCCTCAGTCTGCATATTTTTATTCTCTCTATTACGACAAGCGTTTTAATGTTTCCATACCAAAAAAAAACACGCGCACTTCTACACCTAAATCCGTATAAGAAACACATACTTGTCTACACCTAAATCCGTACAGTTTTCAGAACTTATAGTTATCCTACGTAAACCTGAGGAATACTTCAGGTCTTCTCCACTGGAAGTAAAGATATGGAAAAGTATCTGCATAATGTTAACCTAAAAAAACATATACTACTATAGTTATTTTACTTGCCGAGAGATGGCGAATAAACTGCTGTTGTCTGTAGTTGAGCGTTGATGGAGTTGATCGTTCCATCATAGGCAATAGTCGAGACATCGTGCTTGAAGTGTTCCGCGCCCGTCGACGTAACGACGGGAGAGAAAACCGGGTCTTGGACGGACGCAAACTGTTGAAGGGAGTATGGAGATCCGTTGGGTACCACCGTCGGTAACTCTGCCATTATAGATTTCAAGTCGCCCTCCTGTTTCTCCCACTTGGGCCACATCTAGTTAAATAGAACAATATTGCCTGTTTATACAGACCTGTTTTAATTACTTGGGCCACATCTAGTTAAATAGAACAATATTGCCTGTTTATATAGACCTGTTTTAATTTATGTCAGTAAAACCAACACTATATTACCTCAGATCTTGTTACATGCGATGAGATTATTTTATATATATATATACCTACTTAGCTGAAACTCTGTGATGATTAGTTTTCTAAAGTGCATTCAATGTACTTAAGTTAACTGAAATTTACTTCCGGAGATTTTGTCGTGCTGATAGCACATCGCAATACATTTCCTTAGCTCACTATCACAGAACCGAAAATTAAGTAGATATTATGAAACACGGATCAGCATCTTTATGTTGCCTCGAATATTTACTGGATAACTTAACTTCTTCGAATTGATTTCTGACTATAAAACAGCATTGCTTTAAATAGAATGTGATGACTGATAGAAACGTATATTAAATTGGTGTGCTCCGTTTTTTCAGCATGAAAACACGAGTTAAAAGAAATTATTCACGTTATCTTTTTTACGTTAGGATATTGGATTTTTAAGTAGAATTCACCATTAGCGTAGGCAGAAATTTTTTCAGGGAGGGGCATGGTTTTCCGGGGGGGGGGGAGTAGTGTGAAATTGATAATTGAATAAAAAGTTTATATTAATATACTGAATGAATAAAGAAAGAATTATGTTCCCCCACCCCACCCCCCCGCAGATGCCCACGTACTTTACCAAACACAGACTGACATTTCCTTGCCCAATGAGCAGCTGTTTCTGATATCAATTCTGGTTTATTCAGAAAAATATAAAATCAGTTACATTTATTCAAATTATAATATTTATGTGAATTTATCGATATTACAACAGCAACGGTTCATTAGTTCTTAACTCGCAAAATGTCACCATAAACAACATTTTGTATTTCACGAGAAGATTGTCCTGCAGCTTGCTATTCAAGTGGTAGGCTGAAATACAGATTCCCCACTTATTGGTTGAGTATTGTGTTAAAAGCTGAAATAAAGATTTTGTCGCTCATTGATTGGCTACTATATTAGGAACTCAGACAAATTTTGCACTCATTGGTTAAGTATAGTAATATAAGTTAAGTCACATGCCCCACCTAATGGATGGTTATTGTATTAGAAGCTGAGACACAAATTTTGTACTCATTGGTTGAATATTGTATTAGAAGCTGAGTCATATATTTCGCGTCCACTGGATGATTATTGTATCTAAAGCTGAGACACAAATTTTATACTTAATTGAATTATTTGTGAGTTATTTGGAATATTTGTTTAGAGAAATTGATCAATTTAGAACTCGAACATTAAAATTCCTCGTAACTAAACAATTGCACTAAACGGTATTTTTTGTATCTTCACATTTAAACAACCAATACAAACATCATCCAATTTAATGTATCAGTTCTGTAACTTGGTAAACATGAAAACTATAGTAAGTTGAAGATATGTATTGTCATAGGTTTAAATAGTAGATATTTACGTTGGTATAAGGTTGGTCACCGTTGTACTGCGTAAGTTGTCGTTTTGTTTGTTATATTGTCATAGGTTTATACAGTAGATACGTTGGTATAAAGTTGGTCACTGTTGTACTGCGTACGTTGTCGTTTTGTTTGTTATATTGTCATAGGTTTAAATAGTAGATACTTACGTTGGTATAAGGTTGGTCACCGTTGTACTGCGTAAGTTGTCGTTTTGTTTGTTTTATTGTCATAGGTTTATACAGTAGATACGTTGGTATAAAGTTGGTCACTGTTGTACTGCGTACGTTGTCG